ATCCTGCCTCTGTCCCTTTTTAGCGGTGACCTGGAGCAAATTACTTAACCTTTGCGTGCCTGTTCCCTCATCTGTAAAATAGCAATGGTAATTGTATCTGCTCAGGATGGATAGGAAGAGAAAGAGTTAATATAGCTTAGGGCAATGCTCGGCTTGGTCGGTGCTCCATTGCTGCTACCCGTTGCCATTATTGTTGGTCTCAGACATTGTGTGACCTGGCCAGGAACGATGTGAGAGCGCACAGATAACAACCAGTCATGTTTGCATTTTTATTAGAATGGCGGTTTGGGCCACATGAACATCGCACTCTTGTCAGATCTGACTAAGCAGATTTCCCGAGACTACGATGTGCTGTTAGAAGGTCCTGGTCTTGCACTAAGGTAAGATCCTGTTCCTTATGAATTTAAAATTGTTTTTCATGTTTAGCATCATCCCACTTCTTAGGGGATTTATAGAGACTTGGGAAAGCAATCTGAAAACCAAAAATCCTTCATTTTAATCTTTTAAGAAGCACTGATGAATGCCCCTCAGAGGGTTGGCACTTTCAGAAATGGCTTAGACATATTCGCCCACTGCACCACCTTGTGTGTCTTTCTGAAGAAGGACATCGTGTCTGGATGGTCATACTACTTTACTCTTCCTGGCTGGGAGCCACTTTCACGGGGGGAACAGTCCTGGCATGTTTGGAGAAGGGAGGACTAGCAGGATAGGAGTCAGTATCCTGGAATGGATAAGGTCTCATAAAGCCTGGAATCAAAAACTCCTGGAGTTTAATTTTTTTAACTCATCTACTTAATAGCTGTGTGGCTTTGAGCAAGTTGCTTTACCTCTTTGAGTCACAATTTTTTTATAACTAGTATGAGAATGTACCTCACGGTTGGTTATGAAGATGAAATAAGATGCAGCTAATGCTTTTAGCACAGGTCCTGGTAGCTGTTACGACCCTTGTCTCAGAATGTCATTTCTGTCCTTCAGTCTGTGGTTAGACCTTTAGTCCTTTGAGTGCGAAGCTTTCTTCCTGTCTTTAACAGTCCCACATTCAAACACAACCTTCGTAGGAGGGATGAGTACTTAGGACTTAGAAGTGGCATCTTGATGGCCACTGAGTGAAGGAGGGTGGAACTTGACCTTCAGAAAACAGGCAAGGACTGCACCTGGAATTTTAGCTCTGGGACGCCACCTAGAGCTTGGGCCTTTTTGCTCCAAGGGGATGACTGACTGCCTGTAATGATTAAAGCCTGCCCTTAACAGAGTTGGCAAGGGAAGGAGAAAAAGAGTGCTGGCTTTTTCCTCCCAGGATCCTTCCCTGTTAGGTGTTGCTAAGTCTGCAGGTAACTCCCTACTGGTTTCACTATTAAGATCGACGAGGGGGAAGGTGCTGGGTCTGGCTGGTGAGATAAGGCCTTCTTTCTGGAGTCAGTGGGCCCTGCCCCATCCTACCTCTGTGTCTGCATCTGCACCGTGGACTCCATCCAGCTTGGCTCCACTTCCCAGGAACACGCACCAGGACCCGTTAGGCCTGAAAGCCAGACCCCCAAGGGCCAGGCCCAGGGAGGAAAAGGCACCTTTTTACCTTGCGAGTTTTCTCTAACTTGCCTTTTCCCCTGAGTGATTAACTCTTGGAATGCTGCACCCTTTTAAGACAGACTGTTAAAACCTGTGCTTTAAACATACCTGCATATGTCATAGTGACACCAGCACTTGTGCAGAAAGAAGGTGAGCACAGGTGGGTCAGGACCTGTGATTACATCGCTGCCAAGTGATGTTGAGTGGCAGGTTGGGTTTTTCCTTTACATTTCTGTTTGGCGTAGACTGAATCCTTTCTGCAAAAACTTCCCTGTGGGATTTTCCCCCATTTGCCCAAGAAATCACTCATTTCGTAAGTGTTTACTGAATATAGATAAACTACATCTCTGTCGCTTCCCAGTTGCCTGTGGTTACTTGCCAAGAGTTGATATAGCAGCCTAGAGAATGCCTGCTGAATCACTAATAAGTAAAGACAGTTCTGCTCTCTGTGACTTTGAGATACTGTGTGACATTCAGGTCACATTTGTAAATGTGACCATACTGCCTGTTTTCCAGGCTGGCCTGGTCCAGGCCTGCCTTTGTTAAAGTATCTGTCAATGAGAGATGATAAGCTTTTTGTATAACAGAACCCCATTTTTAAGCATACGATAGACTTAATAAATGCCTTAGTAAGAAGCGGCAAAGACAGCAGGGTAGAAGTTAGACTCTGATTCTGGTACTGTTGTACTAATGAGGATAAGTTCTGATACAGAGGTCTCTTCATAATTGACCCCAATGGAGTCATCAAGCATTTGAGCGTCAATGATCTCCCCGTGGGCCGAAGCGTGGAAGAGACCCTCCGCCTGGTGAAGGCATTCCAGTTTGTGGAAGTCCATGGAGAAGTCTGCCCTGCAAACTGGACACCGGATTCTCCAACGGTATGTTTCTTTTCTAAAAGCAGTAGGACCCCAGCAGAGGGTCCCAGGTCCTCACTGCCTCAAGGGCTGTTGGCCTGGAATATCCACAGGAGCCCACCTTGGGAGCAGGGCAGGCTGCAGATGGGCAACACTGCCGAGAGGTGGGGGATGGGACCTGGATTAGGCAGGCCATTACTGTAACTTTCATCCAGGTATTTTAAAGGAAACATACCAATCTTTAAAAAGTTAAAGAACTTTAAGTTAAAAATTCAGAGTTTTCAACTCACTTTTTAGACTATATCTTAAAGTCAGTTACTTAATGGAACGTTTTCATATTTTCAGATCAAGCCCCATCCAACTGCTTCCAAAGAGTACTTCGAGAAGGTAAATCAGTAGATCATTCCATGTGCACCTGCAGCATCTTAAAAGAACCACACCTGGAACTCACTTAGCATTTCAAGGATGATTATGTATAGAAGGCAGAGAACCAATTATGCTTACATGCGTAAATATTACTCTAGATGTTTCGTTTTTATAACAATGGCTACGGCGTTTTAAACATGGCTAGTTACTAATATGAGTTCTTCTTGATGGCTAGCTAGTTTATAGAATGCCTAGTTCACCTCTTTCTTTGATCATGTCTTCAAAGGGAAACGCTTTTCTTAGCCTAACTTGAACCTTCATGTACATCAGAATAGTACCACAAGTATCCAAAGCCTCTGATCAAGGGTCCTAAAATTTTCTTCTTGAATTTCTTTCTATGAAACTGAATTTTCTTTGAAGATAATAAAGATCATAGTTTTGTGAGCATCAGCCATCCAATTTAACTCTTGGAGTGGATGGAAATGTGATTGAAATAAATGTGAATCATGTTTTTAAAAAAAAATACGGTGGCAAAGTGACTTAACTGATCATGCATGTTCCTCATCCCTGAGATTTACAGTTTATATAGTTATTTTACTTATTTTGTTAGCTGGCTGTCTACATACATTTCTGCATACTGATTGAGTGTAATTATAAAGGATATTTATTGAATCCAGGGATTAAATTTTGAAATCATTGTAATTAAATTCTTTTCTGAAGTGCTCAATGTAAAATATATAATAAAAACATTTTAAGGTATTTGCATTTTTAACACCATTAATTTGTTGTTTCAGCTTATGTTGTGGCTCTCTAGTTTTCTAATTATATCAAGACACATTTCTTGAGCATTTAACTCATGGCCCACAAAGATGAGTAAGGTGCTGGCCCAAAGAACTGTTTAGGGGGCAGGGGAGAAATGGAAGCATGTATTCATTGTTTCAGTAAATCCTTGAGCGCCGACCACATGCCAGGAGTGAACAAAAGAAAACAAACCTTTTTCTTCATGCGCTTACAGTCTAGAGGGGGAAACAAAATAAAAGAAAAATGCATAGGGCATGTGGAAGGACAACAGAGTGGAGCAGAGAATCGCAGGTGTCCTGGGCAGGTTGTCAGGGAAGGCCTTGGGAGAGTGGCAGTTTCTCCAGGTCTGTTTCTCACCTGTAAGATGAGGGCAATAATTGTACCTGTCTCAGGGTTTTGATGAGGATCAGGTGAGAGAAAACGTGTATAAAGTGAGGGGAGTTAGAGGCATAAGTAGGTTCCAGGCAAAGGCCTGAGCAAGAGTGTGTTTGGGGAGGTGGAGAAGGGAAGGGCCACAGGACTGGAGGAGAATGGTAATGAGCCCAGTGCGCCTAGGGGGAATCCAAGGACTTTGGGTTCCGTTCTGGTAAGAGAAACATCAAGACAGTTTTGAGAAGAGCTGTATCATTTGTTCTAACAGGATCAGTAACTCTTTCGTTAAGACCAGACTGTAAGGGTCCCGAGAGGGGCACAGAGAGGTCCTCTGGGCTGGATTTGTGACATACTTGCTGGTAGGACCAACATAATAATAGTACAGGTGTTCTAAATATATGGTACAGTAGATGTATAAGGGGGTCACTGAGGTGAAGAGGGGCACCTTACCCAGCTATAGGCATCAGGGAAGGCTTCCTGGAAGAGGAGATGAACTCTTGAAGCCTATGGGAAAGTGAGCCAGGTGAGCTGAGCAAAAGGAGCTGAGAAGTCCCATGGGCCTGAAGAAAACCAGGAGCACCTTTCATGTTCCTGTAGGGAAGGCAATGGCGGGAATAGGCCAGCTGGGTGTTAATGGCCTAAACCGACCACTTCCAATGGACCCAGTGCTGTTTTAGGGCCTTTACATGTTTCATGTATTTTGATTATCAACCAAACTCTGAGGTAAATACAATTATTCTCGTTTTACAGATGAGTAAATAGACCTGGAGAGATTGACTTGACTAGGGTCTCACAATGGGTAGTGCTGAGTCCCCAACCCAGGACTCCTGAGGACCCCCCTGAACACCCTAAACAGCCACATTGGCTTCCACCAACACATACAGCCCCTGCCCATCCCAAGAAGCGGGGAAGGAAAGGGGGACGGGGCACAGGAAGAAGGAGGGTGCATTTTTTTTCTCTACAAATGGTCCCTCCCTACTTGATCTGGTATTCAACCTGAGGAACTGGATTTGCCCCAGTCCTGGAGAAAACTGT